CCCCGCTCCCCCTCCTCCCCCCCTCTCTCGATCCCGACCCTATCTTCCCCCCCACCCCGACCCCGATTCCGACTTCCCCAGCACCCACCCCCGCTCTCCCTCCCCTGCATTTCTTTGGCCCGCTTTCCGTCCCTCATCCCGCTTGATCCCGATCCCTCCCCAATCACCCACCTCAGCTCCCCGAGCGCAGAGCCACACGTGCGCCCGATCGCTTTGCCCGCCTCCCTTCCCTCACTGATCGGTACCTGCCCCCACCCCCTACCCCGAGCGTTCTCTCTCCCCATCGCCCCACACTCCTCTCCCGACTGCTGCCCGCTCGTGCGCATGTGCATGACGGGAACTTGGCTGGAGAGGCACATCTGTTAGAAGATAACGCAGGTGTCCTAAGATGAGCTCCACGAGAACAGAAATCTCATGTGGAGCAAAAGGGCAAAASCTCATTTGATTTTGATTTCCAGGATGAATACAAACTGTGAGAGCGCGACCTATTGATCCTTTAGCGTTTCTGGACTTGAACCTAGAGGTGTCAGAAAAGTTACCACAGGGACAACTGGCTTGCGCCACCAAGCGTTCATAGCGACATTGCTTTTTGATCCTTCGATGGCGGTTCTTCCTATCATTGCAACACAATTTATATCGTCTTGGCGCGCATACAAGTGATGGTGATGGTGCCACGTCACCTAATTAGTGATGTGCATGATTGGCTCGACTAGATTCCCCTTGCCTCTCCATCAGGGAACCTTCTTGGCCTCATCGCTGTCATCATTCACACGGGATCATTACTGCAATCATCATCATCATTGGCAACATCCTCATCGTCGGCAATATCATCATCACCGGCGATTGCTCTAGCGACCTCGTCGTTCCACCGGGGGAACGATCGAGAAGACCCTTTAGGGGTTCAACCAAGACCTTCCTTGACTAGGAGGAAGGACATTCAATGCTCCCGGCCGACAGGGAGCGCGCTATTGTCAATCTCTCTCCCTCTTAGTAATTCCCTCCCTTCCCCGCGTGACGCATATTTTCTCTCCTTGTGCTCATCCAGCAATGCCGCCCATCTGATCGTGCGGAATTTCTACCTAATCCCATCTGATCTACGCATATTCTTTCGTGAATGGAATTAATTCCGATGTTTTTGTTTAAAGGTTACCCAGATTTCTTTATTATCTCAAATTCCTTTTGTTATTTATTCTTCAAAATTCAATTTCTTTTTCAGAAATTCGTCCAATAATGTTTGCAATTCCTCAAATTCAATTCTTTTTCAATTGAAATTAATTCCGGTTGTCTTTCTCCATAAAATTCCGAAATTCTGAAAATTCTCTTGAAATTTCTATTTGTTTTGCAATACGTTCACAATTCTCGGATTTGACCTTGAAAAAAAAATAAAAAATCTCTTAATTCGGATTGCGATAAATTCTTGCTTCCATTTCATCGTAAACTCTTAATTTAGGAATCACCTTTCTATTTTGCTTTCAAATTGCCTTCGAATTTCTTTTAATTTCGGCAATATGTCTTGGAGAGAGAACCTGTTAGTACTGGTCGGAACAGAGTTGGTTTGAGTGAATTGGGAGGAAGGAGGAAGAAGATACGAGGAGGAGGACAGACGAAATGGAGGGAAAACAGCTTATCATCGAAGTTAAAAAAAAAAAAAAAAAGAAGCTCTGTCAGACTGTCACTGTGTCAATCGCGTCTTCTCTCCTGCGAGTTTTGTAAGTCCCAATTTTTTGTCTGGCCAATCGACGTTACTCTGCTAACAAATGTTGGAAAGGCACTTTCTTTTCTTTCATCATTGAATGACAAGAATCGTAGCAGTCTGAAGTTCCTTGGGGTTTCTGCATTTTTGTGAGTTCTATGCATGGTTGCAGCAGTCTATGTCCTTGTAACTTGTAAGAATAGAGCACACTGCCATTTCCATTGGATGTGGACTGAAAGTTGGGCTAAATACAGACAAAATGACCATACTTCTATTCGGGGTAAGAGAGCAGTGTGACCATGGCTATTTTAAACCCCATGCCAACGTTGAGATCGGAGTCTTGAAAGGGGCGTAACTGCAAGAAGAGGTCGACGTTGAGGGACAGGACCGAACGTCGACACCAGGACAGAGACGTAAAGCCTTTCACTGGTAGATCTGACGTTTGAACGATGCCAGGACATTAAAGCTCCATCCTTTCGGGGCATCTATTGGAAGGGGTGTAACTGCAAGAAGAGGTCGATGTTGAGGGACAGAACGGAAAGTCGACACCAGGACAGAAACGTAAAGCCTTTCACTTGTAGATCTGACGTTTGAACGATACCAGGACTTTAAAGCTCCATCCTTTCGGCCCATCTACTATGATTGGAATGATGCAGAGAATATTAACATAGCACCTGCGCAAGGGTGGCATTCACAAATCAGGAAACCAAGGCATTATTCTTATGCCTGGGAAAGAATATCCCGCATTGCCAAGTCCATTGTGGACCTGAAGTTGGGTAGGCTTAGACTACCTTAGAGGCATAGCAGATGTGCATATCGGACACATGAATCTCCGTTTCCCCACCAAGAGACAGCACCAAGAGACAGCAGGTAGGGCATAGATTTAGCCATCATAAAGGAGCTGATGGTGAATCGGAGTTTCAGTCCCTTGCTTCTTTCTGTGCACTCACTTCCTTGTCCAGACGGTCTGGGAACTACACCCCCCCCACCCCCCCCAGCCCAAATACAATGCCAGCAGAGGAGGAAGTATACCTCCTGGATATGCCAGAGGTTGCCCTAGAATCCATCCATTGCACTTGGCCTTTACGTTAACGAGGCCATCTCTGTTTCAATCTGTTGAGTTAACAAGCCCTTCTTGATGCCGCTGACTGAATGGTTCAGTGGACCGTGCTGCTGCCTCCACTAGGACGCATCAAACAGGCCATCTCTGTTACAATCTGCTGCGGCTCAAGGAGGACGAAACCAGACGGAGATGCTAAAGAGTGTGTTGCCGTCTCAATAGGGTTATATATCACATCGGCTGTCCCTGTCAAAGTGAGCTCAATTTTCTAAGGGCCTTGCTGCACGGCACACGAAACGAAGAAAAAAAAACGAGTGCATCTGCCCACGAAATGTGGGGCAGAATATACATTCCTTACTATTTATAGCAAATGGGTGAACCTGTCCACTTTCTTCCGGGAGATAAACCTGTTTCATTTTCGTTTTTTCGTTTCGTGTGCCGTGCGGGACTCCCTAAGGTTTCTTCATGGACTATGGCTGGGACAAAAAACACAACTGATAAACATTGCATGGCAATCAAGCACAATCTACACAATTACAACACCACAAGTGCATTGTACAGGTCTACAAAACCGAAGGAAGAAAGACAGCAATAAGGACACAACACGCAACATGGCAAGAGATACACCTCAGGCTCTGCAAGCCTGGATGGAAGTCTGCTCACATGACCCACAGGGGAATATAGGAGGGTAAGGAACAGCAGGCTTTCAAGGGACTGGGCGGGACCAGAAAAAAAAGCAGGAGCTCTGAGACTAGGAAGTATATTATTGTGGGCCCGCAGGAAAGACGGAGCTCTAGACTAGAGTAGGACTACAAGTGACCATGGCCCCAAGGACCAACACAGAAACTCTTGGTAATCACAGGTTGTATCTAATGGCACGCTGGACCCGATTTCCAGCAGGTGCCACTCCCCACCAATAGATGGAGCAGCCCGAAACACAGAGAGCCCCAATTCCGGTGGTTCTCTCACCACCACCGGGATAGAGGCCTGGAAAAAGGGCAATTTTAAAAAACAAAAAACAAAAAAAAAAGAGACAACTCAGGCATAAAAATTGAAGCACTGTCCTTACCCCGACATAAAGGACTTGGCGGTTCGCATCCCAACATTTCAGCAGGTAGTCCGCTCCCCATTTGATGGCAAGGAGCGCGTTCTCGTATTCATCACCGAAGTAGCCCCCGGTGGTAGGGTTGCCGAACTCCAACACACCCCATGCCAGCATGGACATTGTAAAGCTCATAGGCAAGTTGAATTTGATATTGTCACCAGCATCGTAATATCCTCCCTGAAAATTTGTCCAGAACGACATCAACAGAAATTGTCAGCATCAAAATACTCGCATTACCGAATGCTTAGGAGTTCATGAACAGGGCAGCTCCACCTCCGGGCACAAGGATTGAAAAACGAGTAGGGGGTTGGGTTTTTTTTGGGGGGGGGCGTAAGGAAGAGGGGGCGTGGAAGGCGCATTCGTTTGGATTTCTTTATGAACTTAAGGTACACACAAAAGCAGTGGGTGTTATTTCATTCAAGGGACGCTGGACCAGGTTTCCAGCAGGTGATACTCCCGAGCAATAAAAAGGAGCCGTTGCTTTTTTCTCTTTTTTTTTTCAGATACAAACAAAATTCTTACTGCTCGCCTTTACACCCCCCTATGCCAAAATTACCTCAAACACAGGGCCTGCATCTCTCACCCCAAGGAGAAGAGGGAGGGGGGGGGGGGGAATCTCGTTTGAGGCTTCGAGCAACCCTCTGCTGGGGTCATCACGGCAGTCAACTTGATGTAAGGATCAGGATGATCAAGGGTCGGCCTGATGTCCAACCCAAGGAGTCCACAACTACACAATAGCTTGAGCCTTGAAGTATAGGATCACAGGCTTGGCTAACAGGACATCTTCTCACGAAACTGCTTTTTAAAACATATTTCTTCTCTCAATTTCACCTAACACTACCTACCTACCACTACTCCTAGTTGTCGGCATACTGGGAACCCCGTAGCCGCCAGAACCGAGTCCACGAGAAAACATGCAGGGGCTGCTCCCGACCTGCAGGTGGGCGATACTGGCTAGGGAACAGCCTATAGCATCAGGGACCATTCCAACAGGACCAATCCCCGTGCCTCCCCTTAGGTCCCCTCCCATACAAACATCATTTCTCTCTTCCTTGAAGGTAAACACAAATATAATAACAATTGCATCACTGGGCCCTCCGTGGGGTCCTCTCCTACAGTGGAAGGTCCTATCGGGGCCACCGTTTACCTTGTTGGAGGAAAGGGCCCTTTTTCTGTCAGGCTAGAGGACAGTGCGTCCATCCGGAGCATTGAAAGAATAGTAAAATACCCAGCTACTACCTAAAAAAGAAAAGGACTTGCTCCAGGGTGAGGCTTCGAGCAACACTCTGCTGGGGTCATCACGGCAGTCAACTTGATGTAACGATCGGGATGATCGAGGGTCGGCCTGATGTCCAACCCAAGAAGTCCACAACTACACAATAGATTGAGCCTTGAAGTATAGGATCACAGGCTTGGCTGACGAGACATCTTCTCATGAAACTGCTTTTTAAAACATATTTCTTCTCTCAATTTCACCTAACACTACCTACCTACCACTACTCCTAATTGTAGGCATGCGGGGAAACCTGTAGCCGCCAGAACCGTGTTCACGAGAAAACATGCAGGGGCTGCTCCCGACCTGCAGGTGGGCGATACCGGCTAGGGGACAGCTGGTAGCATCAGGGACCATGCCAACAGGACCAATCCCTGTGCCTCACCTCAGGTCCCCTCCCCTACAAACATCATTTCACTCCTCCTTGAAGGTAAACACAAATATAATAACAATTGCATCACTGGGCCCTCCGTGGAGTCCTCTCCTGGAGTGGAAGGTCCTATCGGGGCCACCGTTTACCTTGTTGGAGGAAAGGGCCCTTTTTCCGTCAGGCTAGAGGACAGTGAGTCCATCCGGAGCATTAAAAAAATAGTAAAATACCCAGCTACTACCTAAAAAAGAAAAGGACTTGCTCCAGGGTGAGGCTTCGAGCAACCCTCTGCTGGGGTCATCACGGCAGTCAACTTGATGTAAGGATCGGGATGATCGAGGGTCGGCCTGATGTCCAACCCAAGAAGTCCACAACTACACAATAGATTGAGCCTTGACGTATAGGATCACAGGCTTGGCTGACAGGACATCTTCTCATGAAACTGCTTTTTAAAACATATTTCTTCTCTCAATTTCACCTAACACCACCTACCTACCACTACTCCTAATTGTAGGCCTACGGGGAAACCTGTAGCCGCCAGAACCGTGTTCACGAGAAAACATGCAGGGGCTGCTCCCGACCTGCAGGTGGGCAATACTGGCCAGGGGACAGCTGGTAGCATCAGGGACCATTCCAACAGGACCGATCCCTGTGCCTCCCCTCAGGTCCCCTCCCCTACAAACATCATTTCACTCGTCCTTGAAGGTAAACACATATAATAACAATTGCATCACTGGGCCCTCCGTGGGGTCCTCTCCTGGAGTGGAAGGTCCTATCGGGGCCACCGTTTACCTTGTTGGAGGAAAGGGCCCTTTTTCTGTCAGGCTAGAGGACAGTGAGTCCATCCGGAGCATTAAAAAAATAGTAAAATACCCAGCTACTACCTAAAAAAGAAAAGGACTTGCTCCAGGGTGGGGCAAAACACCATCCTGTTTCTTTGACCTTTCCTCTTTCCCCCCCTATTTTTTCTTTGTCTTTAGACTCTGTACCCTTTTTAAAGTTTTTTTAACTTTTTTTTTTTTTTTTGCAGGGCCCAACATATTTTTGTTTTTTTGTTTTGCCTTCCAATTTGTAAAAACATTCTCAATGAACAAAGTATAATCTTGGGCGTCCTACTGGAAAATGGGTCCCTTGTGCAAGGCCTCTATCCTGGTGGTGGTACGAGAACCACCGGGATTGAGGCTTTGCCTGGCGGGAAGCTCCATCTAGTGGTGGGGAGCAACACCTGCTGGAAACTGGGTCCAGCGTCCCTTAAATACATCTTTTACAAAACAGTACAACATTGAAAGTGACGCCATTGTGCTGGAAACCGGGTCCAGCGTCCCATATCCGATCTACTCTTCCATACCTAACCTGCAGCAGGGTCGGGTATTGGGGGGAGAAACACCGGGGGGGGCCAGTGGAGTCTCCCTCCATCCCTTAACCCCTGCCCTCCACCTACTATCCTTATGGCGCCTATTGTGTCTTTTACTGAACATTAGACTCTTTCCAGAGAATGTACTGAACATTTTATGGTGAGAAACGGGCTCAGCGTCCCAAAGGATAAAAAACAGATGGTCAGGCCCAGATATTAATGGAAGCGGCACAAAACCGCGTCCTGACCTACTGAGCATAGATTGTGCCTAGAATTATATGAGATTAATCAACTCATGCATCATCCCCAGGGCGCACCTCCAGGGCCCATGGATGGGGGGGAAAGGGATCAGCAAACTCCTGAGCAGGTCGTAATGGAACTCCCGGGTCCACTTTTGTCCAATCATGAAAGTGCAGTGAATAATCACTTTTTAAGTTGGCCCCCCACTCCTCCTGCGGAGTCATGTCGCCCCACCAGCACACCTTTGCCAACCATCCCTCCCTTTTTCCCCCAAGCCAGCCCTCACAAAAACGGGAGATGATCCTATCAATATCTACTTTAGTATGCGCCAGGTTTAGATTGTCCTTCGTACTCTGCCATTGTGCAGAAATCTCGCACTGCACCAGTAGGCGCAATTGCTCCATAGATTCCCCCTCTTCCACCCTGGCCCCTTCCAATTCCAGAATGCATCTTCTCCACTATATCACCCACAGGATGGAACGCCTACCCAAGGCAAACATATTCCTCAGAAACATGTTTCCCTGAGACAGGGGGAAGTGGCCCAATAATATGGTCCACCAGTCCCAAGGCCAGGGGGAATCTGGAACAATGTGCTGCCAGATTCTGCCCCACCATCGCCATAGAAGTACGGCAGCCGGGCACTGCAAGAAGATGTGTTCCACTGTCTCAGCCCTTTTTTTAGCAGGGAAATTCGAGAGGCACCCTCGGCACCAGGGTAACGCCTTCCCTTGTTGTTCCAATCGTGTATGTTCGATCAGCCAGTCGTTGGTAGGTAGGCACCGGTGGGCAATTTGCCACTGTAGGGCCGAAATTTTGGCGGTCCTTTTCCAATATTCCTTAAACCACTAGATAGGCTTGAGTAGGCCTTTATCAATATTGAGGTGACGATGCCACCTATCCTCTACCACGTCTCTAAGCCCACGTCTAGGCCTGAACATGCGATAACTTAGTCTTTAAGTTAGCTAACATTACTGATACCGTCCTCCCTTTCCTTCCCAATACTTGTGGACCTTTCCGCGTCCAAGTCCACTCCTCGGGGTCAAAGGGGAGGTCTTCAATCGGGGTCATTGGTCGATAGGCTCTCCATCCATTTGCCTCTTCTAACACTCTAATGCAATAGACCTCCTTTTTCTCCTTCCAGATGAACGGGAGTCGGCTCCCCAGTAGCTGGCCGTTCTTGGAGGGGGAAAAGAGCTCAATTAACACTTATACGTGATCGACTAAGTATACCCTGCCTACCTGAATGCCATGACCTGGTAGACCGACCTAGTCCCCCTCCTCGACGGGGGGCCTTTCTTAAGTATGACATACACTGGAGCGGAAAACTCTCAATCAAACTATCTAGCGTTGACTCCGTGAAGTGGTAGTACCTCAGGCATCCGCGCATTCTATTGCTTTTTTTCCACTCCCCTGAGTCTTTATCACAAAGGTCCCCCACTTTCCTAATGTCGTACTTCACCCAACCCTTCCACGGGGAGTCCGAGCAACATCTTACTTGACCTAGGGAGTCTGTAATTAACCTGTTGCCGAACAGGGGTTGCCTAAATACTTCCTCCCACCTTCTTGGCATTGCACGGTCTGGGATTGGGAGTTTCCTCCATGTACGGAGGAGACGTATCCAGTGTTCATATGCCACGTCACCATTCCTATATTTCCTTGGTATCCTCCAATACCTGTCCTCCAACCACACCAAGGGGTTGATCTCGGGAGGGGCCTCTAGTGCCAAGGCAGCGATCTGTGCCAAGGCTAGGGGGACCCAGGGAGAAGAGGAAGCAAAGACGATATGCTGAATCCAATGATTGCTAAGTGCCTGAAACTGTGTGGAAGGGTCCACAATTTTGAGACCACCACCAGCCTTAGGCTGGATAACCGATTCCCACGCAACCCGGCTAATGGTGTGGGAATTGTCACAATCCCCTCTCCAAAGAAAGGCTGCCAGC